CATAGATTTCCCCCTGATGAACTCCCTCAGAATTAACAGCGGCAAGGCTAATTCCAGCCCCTCCTCTTTCAGCCCTACTGTTGTACACACAGCGCCGCTGCAGTTTAGCTACACAAACATTAGTATTAACGATTGGCCCGTTTGGAATTGGTGACAAACTGCAGGCGGAGCGCAAAGTTTTGTAGCCTGAAACCAATCAGGAAGTTAATGAGGAGAAAAATTACTCCTTTTCACCAGCGCCCCTTAATTACATCCACGCCAGAGGAGAGGCAGATGAAAAGAGGGAGGGATGAGAGGCACACCGACAGCTTTTATGCTTCTTTCCTCGGGTTATGAAGGTCAGGAAAGCGGCTGAACGGGATTTGTGTGTCACTGCTCTCAACACTCGTAACTTTGATAGGCTCTAATATTGTATTCACTTCATATATGCACTTCGAGACAAGTGCTGACCTTTCTGGATACACAAACTATCATGCATGTTTATTGGGAGCTTTAATATTTGTGCAGTCTAGTTTCGCTTTTGCATAATTTAAGTAATTCAATTTGCTACTGATAAAATTTAACGACTCTCAGTGTTTGTTTAATGTCCAACAGAGCATCTGTTTCTTAACGTTTTTGATTGAATCTGTTTGTGCTGAAGTAATGTTGTTTGGTTATTAGTCACTGAAGAAGGTCAGCACAGTGTAGACTCATCCTGCACTGTGTGCTCAGCAGTCTCACTGACTCAACGCGTATCTTCAGCTTGAGTGAGTTTGTCAGAGTAGCTAGAATTTACTGTGGTGTGAGATTCAGGAAAGGCACCCCTGTCTTTGTTTTGTTGTATTGTTGAGAGCTGACAGTGTAGCTTAATTAATGCTGTCAAGTGTGACCGGAGAAGCTGATCATCTCAAAATAAGAAGTGCTTCAACAACACTTTCCAGATTGGGATATTGTTTATAAAATTTAAGTAGCGTTCAATATTTTATTTACATTTTTTTTCACGTATAAATTGGTGTTCTTTTACAAATACATTAATCATAACTACATTCATTTTCTTTTTGGCTTAGTCCCTTTATTCATTAGGGGTTGCCACAGTGGAGTGAACCGCTAACTTATCCGGCATATGTTTTACACAGCGGATGCCCTTCCATGCTGCAACTCAGTACAGGGAAACATCCATACACACTCATGCACACACATACGGCCAATTTAGCTTTCCCAATTCACCTATAGCGCATGTCTTTAAAATGTGGAGGAAACCAGAGCACCTGGAGGCAACCCACGCGAGCACGGGGAGAACATGCAAACTCAGAAATGCCAACTGACCTTCTTGCTGCGAGGTGATCGTGCTACCTATTGAGCCATTGTGTCGCGCATTACATTATTCGTAGTAACTATAACATGAATAAAATACAATATAAAAAAGGCAAATTAGGCAAAAGAACAGAACTCGGCCTCAGATGCGCACCAGAACAGCTTAAAAATCACGCAAGTCATTAAGTCATTGACTTAAATTGACTTGTTCAAAGGTAGATTCATTCAGAAATGCAATACTGTACTGTTGCTCTGCATCTCACAAATGTTTTGCAGTGAGTTTGTTTAAAAAAAAAGAAAAGAAACAGAAACAAAATTGTTGTCAAAAATGTAACTTTTAATTACATTACTGTCGTATAAACACAATTCATTGTTTTTTTATCATTTGTTGTTTGTCTGATTTTAAAATGATTTTCATGAATTTGTTACTTTTTTATTGCCAAAGTGTAAACAAAGCTGGAGGGAAAAATGACATTTAGGTTGTTTAGAAAATATTTTAAACACTTTTTTTAAGCAAGAATTTCAGAGGCTTTCTTCTGTTCTATGATACATGAAACAAATACATTCTTCAGGATAAAGCTGTAAGATTAAAATAATAATACACACTATAATGTCACATATCCATAGCTTAAATTCTATATAATTTATAATTGAATCATAGAGAGCTTGTGCAAACGCATCCACATCACTGTGATCAGATGCTTTCTATACTGCTGTTTTCTCAATGCTGTCATTTTTGTTGATGTTATTTTATTGGGAATAGCACAGCACATATTTAAATATTAATCTAACTATTCTCAACACCATGACTGGTGATGTTCATCATTATTACATTTTTGCTCATTTATTTTCAAGTTCTACTTCTATATGCAGGACAAAAAAGAACATTGCTGTGAGTTGGGTCATCAAATCATCCTCATTAAAGTCTCTAATACATTCAAGTGCAAACACGAGCACAGTATTATTTGCTGCAGTTTACTTAGCCACCAGTGTTACTAATAATAAGGTTTTTCCGAATACTATATATAACATTTCAAACTTGCATCAAGATTACTTTTAAGGGTGAGTTTTCACAAAAAAATTAAATAAATAAATAAATATAGTTTAGATTCTGTTTGTAATTGCTTACCCTTGTGTCTTGTCAATCCCCAGAGAACATTGTTCATTATTGGACCACATATTAATATATTTTAGATGAAATCTGAAAGCTCCTTTATCCTCCATAGACAGTGATGGTGGTCCAGAATAAAAAATATTACCAAAACTTTCCATGTGGCTTTAGTAGTTCAAGTGTAATCATACAACACTCCAACAACACTTTTGTGTGCAAAAATAAATAAATAAAAAATTTTTATTAATGCCTTTTCTTTTGTGTCAGATCAGGGTACATGTTTACAACAGTCAGCATGACATATTGCCATTAAATTCATCAGCACATTACTCAAGCATTGTATTGATTTTAGTAAACGCGCAGTCTGGCCTGATGTAGAAGACTAGCGAACAAAGTAGTTTTTAATGACTTGAGAACATCCCAGGTACATTATTGTCTATGGAGGATGAGGGAGCTCTAGAATTTCATCTAAAATATTTTAATTTGTGTTCTAAAAATGATTGAAGGTTTCAGAGGATTGGAACTACATGAGGATAAGTAATTCATAACACAATTTTCATTTTTTTTTTAAATATTAAAATATTAAGCTGCATTTTCAACATTGATATAATTTTTAATGCTATTCAGCTTATTCAGTTTATTCTAAGAATTGAGTTTTACAGTCACCTGAATAAATTAATTTAGAAATATAATAAAATATTAAATGGTTATTAAAGTCATAATATATATATATTTTTTTTTGCGAACATGAAACTTTTTTTCCCCCAAAAACAAACATCTTTCAAAAAGATCTTACAAACTTTAAGCTTTTCATTGGCAGTATAAGAAATGAGAATAGACAGGTCTACATAAAAGAACAAAAATACTTTTTACCTTAAAGGGATAGTTCACTCAAAATGAAAATTCTGTCATTAATTACTCAGCCTCCATTTGTTTCAAACCTGTTTATTTCTTCTGTAGACTATAGCATGCTGGAAAGTGGCTACCATTGAAGGTGCAGTAGGTGATTGTCTTCAGAATTTTTTTTTGTTGTGCCGGTTGAAAATCTCTTTACATTCCAATATAATGACTAAAGTAAATGATCTAAATGTAATTATATTTATATGAAGAGCAGTAAAAACAAATGCTCAATCAAAACTTTTTAAACTCCTGAATCAATATTGTAGTCACTTTTGCATGCTGGAGAAAGGACGACACCATGGCTGGCTGAAGTATTTCTTTTAGACAGGTTATGTTCTATTTTAAAACCCTTTTAGTCACGCAAAGCTGATCTAGATGTGTTTGTCCTATGAATGGGTTATATGCACAAAAGTGTTGTTCAGTCACTGAAATCTTTCGGTGAAAGATTGATGTGACTATTTTTAAATTACCTAAAACCTAAAACCTGAACCACACTGTTCCAGTTACTATAACCATTTATGTGAAGCTGCTTTGACACAATCTACATTGTAAAAGCGCTATACAAATAAAGCTGAATTGAATTGAATTGAAAATTCATAAGGGAGCTTTTACAGCATCAATAATATATTTTTATTTAGTTTAACAACAAAACATAAGTAAATAGCGCTATTCCGGCTAGCCTGCTTTACTGAGGTGAAGTTGGTTTTATTTTCACACTGGTTCATTTTTGAACAATGACGACTTGTGACACGCTCCCTATATTGTTTACCATGCCACTCTGAATATTTGGTCTGAAATAGCATGTAAGTATGGTTCAGTAATAAGTGTAATTCCTGCAACCTGCCGGCCAGCCACTAAGCATACAGTAGTTGATTTAGGACCGCGCATGAGAGAGTGAGACCCACGATCCTTGCATGCCTGAAATATTGCACATTATGACAGGTTTTGCTTCCTACACAACTGAAAACCTGCAGTATAAAGTGCTGTAAAGTTTTCTAACTGGGGAATGACATGATCTAGTGGGCTGTCTACTGTCATCTTTATGAGTGCACGTTCCTGATTTCGGGACGCGTGGCTTTGGATGGCAGGGGAGGCACTGTGTTTTCAAAGCTATTATGCTAACGCATAGCATTTTGCCAGATCACCTACTGCACCTTTAACTATCATAGTATTTTTTTGTTCCTGCTATGAAAATGGCTGCTGTTTTTTAACATTCTTTAGAAAATCTTGTTTCGTGCTCAACAGAAAACTAAAAAATGCATAGATGTTTAAAACCATTTAAGGGTAATTACATGGTGAAGTTTTTGTTTTTGGGTGAACTACACCTTTAATCTTGAATGATGCCTCTATTGTTTATTGTTAAGTCTTAACCAGATTTCTTTTACTTGGAAAAAAACATGCCTGAGATTTCTGAATCTCAGGTATAAACACTTCTTGGCTTGATATTTTGTTTCTAATGCAAAGACATTTTCAAGTGTAGCTCAAGTTTCCAAATACTTTTTGGCACCATTGTACTTTACTGTGCATGCCATTAGATGAGAAAATGACAGGAACCCAAAAAAGCTCATGTTACAGTACATGCATGCGTCAGGTGTTCTTTATCACAGATGCCCAAACCAGATTACGCTCTGGCATAAAAGAAGTCGCCAATAATAAACACCAAATAGTTCATGTTTCATGATCCATCCCATTTCAGCTTTCTCCGATGGAGCTCAAGACTCTGTGTCCATCAGCTCGATGATCAACGCTGAGAACAAGCTGGAGTGTGAAAGCAGTTCAGAGTCTGGAAGCTTCTCAGTCGACTCCATCATAGAGGGGGCCACCAAATGAAAGACCATCTCCAGCTGCCAGTTACAACAACTTGAATTTTTTGTTAAATGAGAAGTTACTGTTATTTTCAGCCAAATGTGTAATGATTCTGTAACCAACATGTTTCCAATAATACTGATCAGGTTGATCACAGTGCTGTTTTTTTTCTCTTTTTAGGGGTCGTTCTATAAGGTTTTGACTTTTATTGTTAACTCGATTGTTGTCATCGATGACAAGAAATGCTGTTTACATAGTTTACTAATATGTTTCACACAGTTTGATAGCTTAGCTTTGTTCACTTTACTGCTGCAGATTTTAAAGGTTAAAATGATTTACTTCCACTATCTAGAAGAACACTATTGAAAGAAATGGCAGAGCAGAACGATTTACTGTCGCACATCAGTTGAAGCTCAATATTGCTGTCATTGGCCTAATGGATAATCTAACTTCCTTCCCGCGACCTTCATGATGCAATCTATATGAGGGCTTTTCCAGCATCTCCATGCTGTTGTGGGACTAGTTGGGTTAGAAGAGATACTATTAAATTATGCTTCAATCTCGCAGCGGATGGCTTGTTTATTTATGGCCATCACTAAAGGACATCATTTAACTTTTGATGATTTGCATCTAGCCCGATCCTATACCCGATCCAGCTAATGTGCTCGACTCTTCCGAGCTTTCTTTGTATAATATGGAGCTGTGCCCTTGATTTTAATGCTGTTGGCAGAGATAGTGTCCTTAGTCGAGTCATGAATGAATGGCAAAGGAGAAGAGGGACAAAAACTTTGTTTTCTTTCAGACTCTGTTTGTTGCAGGGGTTTGTAATGACAGTGCATTTAACTACAAATGTGGCCATGTTCAGTATTTTGAATGAAACAAAGTGTTAAATGTTTTGGGAAGGCATTCAAAGTGCAATCTGTTTTTAAGTTTTGCATTTGTTTTTATAATAGAGAGCTTTGTTTTTAAGATTTGACAGTAAGTACTACTTTTGCACTTCTTTCTGTACTGGAACTCAGTATTATGTAGATGGTTCACCAAAAAAAGAAATGTGCTGTCAATTTTCTCACTCTAAGGCCAAGATGTAGGTTAATCTTTCTTTGGCATGATTAATTAGATGCAAGTAAGTAGCTGTTGATACTTTAAAAGTAAAAAAAAAAGACAATTGGCTACTGACAATACATAGTTCTGTGGAAGAAAAATACATACATTTACATTGATGGAACATTAAGAACCACAGGTAAAAATATTTAGTCTTTCTATGTATTTGTCAAACTCTCCAAGTGCCAGTAGGCATTGACTTGTATTTATGATTCACTAAGTACCTGAGTCATCTCGAATAGCCTGAGTGTGAGCAATTTAACAGTCAATTTCTTTTTGGGGTGAATTATCACTTTATTGTGTAGCAAGCCAAGACAAAAATTAATTCATTCATGTTTTTTTTCTAAAGATAACTAAAAATGTAATTAGAAAATGCACATATTCAACAGTTTGCACTGTTTAGTAAGACTAACAGTTAATTAATTTGTTCATTTGTTTTCCACACTCTGGTTTTGTGTTAACTCACCCACTGTTTCACCGGTGAGCTCTCATTCACCAACACCATGCTGTTACAAAAATTTTATTTGTTATCATTACAAAACAAGACCAAAGCTAATTTGCAATGGTTGTGTGCTTATCTTCTTATGTTCAGTGGAAATAAAATCATTATTGATGACTGACTTTCACAAGGCTGTTGACTGTTATAAAACCCGAAATGAAAATTACTTGTATTTTCTTTGCTCTGCACCCTGAAAACATTCATTCGATTCTGCCCCATCTGCTGTAATCAATAACCTGGCCATCTTGTTTTTTTTATTAAACGCACTTACTCTTAATTTCATCCCCCAGTGGTTTTAGTGAGAAGAATGTGGAGTTACCTATATGGCTTTGGCATTATAAATCACTTCTGGAGAGCAGATTGTACGGCAGTATCGATTGATCCTGATATATCACAGAAATTTACTGTCACTTCTGTTTTCAATTAAAGATACAATCAGTCAGATAATGACTTAATTGGATTTTACAGAAGATTGAGTTTTATTGTCCCGTTCTTTACGAGTTTAGTTAAGGAAGGCCGCTTTATCATAGGCTGTCAGCGCAGGGCTCCGTCCGCGGCACCTTGTCCTTCTGTTGCTGCTCCGGGTTTGTGTTCCAGCGACAGCCTGAAAAGTGTCTGTGGGTTTGTTTTCCTTGAGCTGCTATTGTGCCATCAATTACGCCGCCTGTGTGAGAGATAAAACCGCCCTGTCCCGAAGTCTGGAGGGGGCGACAGGCGCATTTTCTTAAGTCAGGCCTTCTGGATTTAAGAGAGGAAGAGGTCATCATAAAAATGTTTGATGACTTGATGCTCTGAAACAAGGCCCCGTTTAATCTGTATTAATACATTTATTTGAATTGAAGGCATTTTATTTCCAGGGTTCAGTAAAGATATAAACGATTACTGGAAAGTGAGAAAATAATCAGAGTCTGCTACAATAAAGGGAAAGTTCACATAAATGAAAATTTAGTCATCGTTTACTCTTGCGTTTCACATCTTTTTTGTTTAGCGTTGTTAATGTTGCTAATGCTAAAATGAAGATATTTAGAAAAAAAAACTTCTATAGGTGTGAATGGTTACAGGTTTTCAGCTTTGTTTAAATGTCTTATTTGTCAGTAACAGAATAAATAAATTATTGATGATATTGATTGATTGATTTGTTGTGTTAGCATTATTATGTTATTTAAAAAAATGCTTATTAAGTTATGTTGATCATGTATGTAAATATAGAAAATTACAAGCATAAAAAATGATGCCTGTAAAAAAAAAAAACATTTACCTGAAATATTAACAATCTTGAATTGCATGTCATGTATTACAGCCTGATTCAGAGTATATGTTTTGTTTTGTTTTTTCCCCCTTTCCGCTGTCGCCACTGGCTTGCATGGTTCAGGATCTGTAGAGCTACACATCGATGGATATGCTCTTCAGTGCTTGGACTCTCAGTAATGACTTTAAACCTCACTGAACTGAGCTAAACTAAACTGAACTTAAACACTAAACACTGAACTACCCTGATCCAGTTACTATGACCATTTATGTGAAGCTGCTTTGACACGATATACATTGTAAAAGCACTATACAAATAAAGGTGAATTGAGTTGAATTGAATATGCAGGAATCCTAAAGGTAATTTTAATACCTTTTAAAGACTTTTTAAAGACCTTGTCATTATATTTTAGGACCTCAACACTACTTCAAATTCTAATCAGTATCAAACCTTTCACAACAGTTGTAGTTAAATAAATCAATGGAGCACAACCATGCAACAGAACTCAGATAAGTTTGGAAGAAACAAAGCTTGAAAGAATAAATTACGTGGTTGTTTTCAGCGACAGGCTTCAGCCACTGTTTAAACTCGTATTTTTCCCATTTCCCATTCTACCATCTGTTTTGCTCTATTGTTTTTTCTACAAGTGAAGAGCGTCACATCACCCTCCTGCATTTGTCGCAAATTACGTGACATCCCCTGGACGGAGGAGTTTGGCTGGTTGCACCCTGTCTCGAACCAATCGTGCGGATCGAGCACTTAGTTGTTAATTTTAGGAGGACAATAACTATATTTATGCTTTTTTGGACAGTGCTTGAACAAAATTTAAGATCTTGTAAAAATGTGATTAAGACTTTTTAATACCTTTTAAGGGCCTTACTTTTCTCATAATTGATTTATCAACTTTTGATACTTTTTAAAACTCATTAATAAAAATGCAGTGGGTAAATACAATTATGCTTATAAGTTTGCATACCACTTGTAGAATATGCAAGATGATAATAGTTTTAACAAAATAAAATAGTTTAATATAATTTAATAATTAATAAAATAGGTATTTGGTATAACATGTTTAAAACCCACAACAGAATGTACACAAATTGTCCTGATCATAAGTTTACATATAATTGATTCTGTTTTTACTTCAATAATTCATTAGTCTTTATGAAAAGCCTAAATTTTTCTAATATGTCTGTCTGAATGCCAGCATTGTGTCAGATTTGAAATCTCAACATGATGCATGAACTTTTTAAATAAGTAATGAGTGAACAAGGGTTAATAAAAATTAACCAACTCTATAAAACTTAAACAGTATTATTATTATTATTATTATTATTATTATCTTAAAACAAATGTATTTTATTTTGTTTTTTTATATTTTATTTTAATCAGATTTTCATTTAGTTTGACTAAAGTATATCTTAAAGAGATTGTTCACCCACAATTGAAAATGTATTTACTCTCCCTCATCTGGTTCTAAAGATTTGTTTATTTTTTTCCACTTAACACAAAATAAAACGTTATAAAAATGAGGATACTATCTTTTTTTTATTTTTATTTCTTTTATTTAAAGAAACTCAAATGATTAAAATAACTGGTGAACTATCAGTGAATTATCTCTTTAAAATGAAAACTAATTATTAAAACTAAATCTAAAAAATAAATAAAAAATTCTACAACTTTAGAATGAAAGAAAACATAATAAAATAAGGTGGATAAGTTGTGGAATTTCAGCCATAATAGGTCATAGGTCATGAAAAATCAGGTAAAAGTCTGGGATTTTGACATTTTGTTTAGAGTGGGAGCTCTGCATTGTGGAAAAGGGATGAAGAACGCACACGTCAAGCCGTTGTCCATTAAAGACCATTCAAAGATCATTACCAAGTCATGAATGTTAACTGGTGATCTTTCATATGCTAATGACAATAATTACAGAAGATCTAAAGCCATTCAGATGCCACAATTACAAGTTCATGCTCGATTTGTAGATTTCACAACTGGAAGCTTGATGCATTTGTGTATGCGTGTTCATCTATTAGTTTCTTTAAATTAAAATAAAATCAAATATGACACGATATGACATGTTTTTTTGTTTTTTTTTTTACACATTTTACACTTTGACCATGTAAAAAATAACTACAAAAATATTAGTGAACCAAGCAAAACAATGGATCACAATTCAATACTCTTTAACTTATACGTGAAAAATAATATGAAGAAGCATATGCTTAGTTTTTTTTTTTCATTAGCCACACATTTTTAGACTAAAAAAAGTCCAGTTTAGCCAGTTCTCCTTATTCCTCTTATTCCGTAAAATTATTAGCATGCATATTCTGCAAAGGAGTATGCATTCAATTTAAAGAAAACTGTATTTTGGCAACCTGGCAACTAATATGACTGGAAGGATCATTTACAGCCAGTCGGATTTAGTTCTTCTTTAAAAACAAACAAAAAACAAAGCAACAGATAACCTAAAAGTGATCATTCAAAACTATCCTGAAACAAAAATGATGAAAAATGTTAGGAATGGGTAGCCATTGTCTTATACTATGATAGTCAGTACTGTAGTGTTTGGCTACCAGTTTCCAACATTGTTTAAAAGAACTTTTTTGTGTTAATCAGTAGAAAGAAACAGGTTTTGGAGCAAGTGAAGGGTGAGTAAATGATGACAGAATTTTTGCTTACTTATAAACAATCTGTTTTAAGTCTTATAGCTCGTTTATACACCATGTAATGGCATGAACATGAAACCTTTTTTCCCAGGCACAAAAACATTGCAAATGAATACAGTGACTATGCAAGTAATCCGCAATGAGCCTGATTGATTGGATATGAAGCTGTCAGTACTTGACAATCGCTAGTTGTTTCATCTTAGAGTTTCAGTGGCAAGAATCCATTAGATTGGGTGTTATAGAGACTATTTTTGTGTGGTTTGGAGGCTGAGATGCAAAGGGTGTGTTGAGGAGGTGTGTGTCCTGTCAGAGTCTCAGTGATTTGGGTGCCCTTGGAGCCTCTGTCTATACAGAGAAGAATAAGCAGACATGTCAGTGGACAGATGTCCTGTCATTACTCACAACACTGAAACTATTGGCTGAGTGTCAAAGAGTAGCGATGACAGAGCAGACCATTGGCCGATTCACAGACTCAACATTCATAGAGTCTATACATAATTACCAATATAAACCTCAATCAGGCATGGCAGAAAGTACTTTTTTATGCGTGTGGGGTGGGTCAATTTATTTATGCTTTTGAATTGAATTATGATATTTTGAACTCAAAAAGTTAAAGTCTAAATGTCAAAAAGTGACTTTTGGCATTCTTAATAGTTTGAAGTGAAATATGGCCTAAAGTGGTGCCATGAATACAAAAACCTGCATATTCCTGTACTTTTTCTGTTATTTTAATGACTTATATATACACACATGTAGTTGAAGTCAGAATTATTAGCCCCGTTTATTTTTTCCCCCAACTTTTGTTAACGGAGAGAAGATTTCTTCAACACATTTCTAAACATATTAGTTTTGATAAGTCATTTCTAATGACAGTAAATAATATTTTACTAGATATTTTTCAAGACACTTCTATACAGCTTAAAGTGACATTTAACACTTAACTAGGTTAATTGGGTTAACTAGGCAGGTTAGGGTAATTAGGCAAGTTAATGTATAACAGTGGTTTGTTCTGTAGACTATCGAAAAACTATAGCTTAAAGGGGCAAATAATTTTGTCCTTAAAATGGTGTTTTAAAAAATTAAAACTTTAAAAATGCTTTTATTCTAGCTGAAATAAAACAAACAATACTTTTTCAAGAAGAAAAAATATTATCAGACATACTGTCCAAAATGACAAAATTTCCTTGCTCTGTTAAACATC